TTTATGTACAGCCGAGCCATCTTGAATTTCCTTGATTAACTTCTTCAAATTCACTCAGTTAACCAAGTAGCCTTGATCTTATCACCCAAATCAGATTGTAATTTATAAGTACTCAAACTATGACATTTTAACTCCTCAACCCTTGACAATGCATCCGCCACCACATTCTCATGCCCCTGCCTGTATTCTATGGAAAAGTCAAACTCCATGAGCTTTGCTAACCACTTCGTTGAAACACGAGTGGTGAGCCTTTGATCCAAGCAAATACTTCAAGTCTGTAGTGATCAGCTTTTACCGTGAAATGCCTATTGAGAAGATAGTGTCTCCGCTTCGGACTGCAAACACTACGCCAATAACTCCTTCTCATAAGTAGATAATGTTTGCTGCTGATTATTCAAAGCTCTACTAATATAAGCAATAGGATGGTGTTCCCGCATGAGGACTGCTCCTATTCCATAACCTCGAAGCATCAACCTCTACTATGAATTCTTTAGAAAAATCTGGTAATGCCGGAACCGGTGGACTACGAGAGAAGGTTCTTGATTTGCTCGAAAAGCCTCTTTCGCGTGATCACTCCATACAAACCCATCCTTCTTAAGCATTTCGGTCAAGGGCTTAGCCACCACTCCAAACCTCTTCACAAACCTCCTGTAATAACCTGTCAACCCTAAAAAACCTCTTAATTGCTTGAGATTCTGAGGTAATGTCTAGTTTTTTATAGCTTCCACCTTGGCCGGATCAGTAGAGACCCCTTCAGCAGAAATAAAATGACTAAGGTATTCAACCTTTTTAACAGCGAAGAAACATTTAGATCTCCTAGCAAATAAACTATTGCTCCTAAGAGTCAATAGTACTTGCCTTAAGTGACTCACATGACTCTCCAAATCACTGCTATATATCAATATATCATCAAAGAAAACTAACAAAAACCTCCTCAAAAAAGATTGAAACACTGAATTCATGAGGCCTTGAAAGGTAGCCGGTGCATTTGATAAACCAAAGGGCATCACCACATATTCAAAGTGACCAGACTGTGTCCTAAAAGCAGTTTTTGGAACATCATTAGGAGCCATTCTCACCTGATTATACCCAGACCTCAAATCTATTTTAGAAAAAATTGTAGATCCATGGAGTTCATCTAAAAGGTCATCCACCAAAGGAATGGGAAATTTATTCTTCACAGTGTTTTTGTTCAGCTCCCTATAATCCACACACAGCCTCCATGAACCATCCTTCTTCCCAACCAACACCACAGGACTTGCATAGGGGCTACAACTGTTCTGAATTACACCTTTACTCAAATATTCCTATACCAATTTATCTATTTCATCCTTCTGATGCTTAGCATATCTGTAGGGTCTCTTATTAACAGGATTTGCGCCTTGCACAAGTGGAATCTTGTGATCATGTTCAGGTCTGAAAGGAGGCAGAGACTTAGGTTCTTGAAATACATCATCAAATTCAGTCAAAAGATCAACAACCCTAGGAGATAGCTGATGTTGATTGGCATGAGTAGTGAGGGATTGCAACAATCCTTCTCCCCCTTCACACAGATGTATCATGGATAAATGGACTCCCTCATCTAAAACTCTCTCATCCTGTTGTTTCCGTATAGTTTTTATTCCCCCTGGAGCAAAACCTCTAAGAATAAGTCTTTTGCCATTGGTTTTGAATTCCATCTGCAACTTATCAAAATTCCACACAATATCACCCAAAGTGACCAACCATTCAATGCCCAACACCAAATCATGACCACCCAAAGGAATAAGCATTATATCCGAAGTAAAAATAGTATTTTGCAACCTCCATGTAAAATTCCTGACTATAGAGGAAATAGGAAGCTTGTACCCATCCGCCACAGTAGCAGTAATAGGATCCAAATTCTCTATTTTGCAACCATATCGTTTAGCAAATCTAATATCTAAGAAGTTATGAGTACTACCACTATCAATTAGAATATGAACAAGATTCTTTTGATAATGACCCGTAACACGCATGGTTTTGAAATTAGCTATACCCGATAACGCATGGACTGAAATTTGCAAATCATCCCCCACCGAAAGCTCATCAGCCACACTAGGCTCCTCAATAGTTTCCTTGTCCTCAAGCACTTCAAGCACATGCACCTGCAACTTCTTGTGAGTTAAGCTATGCTCATGGGAGTATGGTTCATCACAAAAAAAAACACAATCCAATGGCTCTTCTTTCACTCATAAAGGCTGGAGTTAAGGTTTTACCAATCTTGAACTTCGAATTCACAGATTCCTTCTGAGAGCTTGTATTAGAGATAGGTTTAGGAACAACCATAGGTTTGACCCCCAACAATCCTTTCTGATTCTTGGCTACCACAGCATGGTTAAAAGATCCGGGAACATTCTTAGCAATGCTCAAGCTGGTAGGGGCGTTGGCAGCTTCATACATTCGAGCTAATTGGAAGGCTCTCTGAACCGAAGTGGGATTAAACATTCTTACCAACATTTGAATATCTTGTTTCAACCCGCCTAAAAAACAACTTAATGTGTAATTTTCAGACAACGATAAACGAGTGATAATAGAGTCAAATTCCTCATGATATTCAACAACTGATGATTTCTGCCTCAACTTCATCAATTCAGCCATGGGGTCATCACAAACATCTCCAAATCTTGCAATTACCGATTGTGCATAATCCGCCCAACACATAGAAGAACAATTGACAGTTTTAGATAAAGCCGTGTGCCATTGAAGAGCACGACCCTCTAAATGAACTATTGCTAATTGAACACGAATGGGGTCAGGTGTGTTGTCGATCAAGAAGAAATTATTACACTCGTACACCCACTGATTCACATTTTCACCATAAAATCGTGGAAAATCAATGCGAGCGAGACGAGTACCACAAGAATACAAACTAGCATTGCGACCGTCATGACAGTTTACCCCTGGAGAGCCTTGTGACTGTTGTAGTAAGAGGTCATCCATAGTTTTCTTCAAAGATTCATCAAGAGATCGCTGCATTGTCCCTGCCAACTCAACCAATCGATTATCGAACCGAACGGATAAACGCTCCTCCATATCTTTCAGAGCCTGAGCATTTCTTGTCGCTTCTGCCATGGAAACTCCGAAATGGATCGAACAAGCTCTGATACCAATTGTTATGATTCTTTCTAGAACTAGGAAGATAATTCTTCGAAGAACTGGAATATGAAAAGGGAACCCAAGAATTGAAAGATTCCGATGTATTATTGAACTGAAGAGAAGGAATAAGAGAGAAGATACAATTGACGGAAGACTCTGTTTTTTTCCTTATCTTTCTTTATTACAGACTACTTATTATTAATAGTTATTTACCCCAGCAGTTATAACTGCCTAACTAACTATTGCTGACTCAACAATTACAACTTACTGAGATTACTTATATCACACAACCATGACTCGACGAGGTGTACGACGACCTTACAATGACGGTGCACTATGAAGATGGTTCGCCAGGTGGAGTTGTTGGGATGCGCGGATGAGGTGGCTCGGGTTGCGGGAAGGGAAAAAGAGTGAGGGTTGTGGGTAAAGTGATTTAGTCGATTGAGAGTCGGGAAGGCATAATAGAGGTGGTCATTTTTGTGAGTTGTGGTGGTGGTAGCTACGGGCTCACGGTGGCAGCTTAGGTGCTAGGGTGAGGCACAAAGGTTCCGATGAGGGGAGAATGATGATGGAGAAGGGATGTGAGGCTGGGGGAGGAAGCTGGTTCTAGTGAGGGGGAAAAGGTGTGTGAGGCGATGATGGAAATAATTTCCTCCTTCCACCAAAGAGACGCCCAAGTCCGCACCTCAAGCTCTCAAGTGACCGAAAATTGTTCCTCAAATCTCAAAAGAAGACTTGACACTAGCTCCTCAAAGGAAGGTTTCTTGTTTAATAGACAAGGAAAAGAAAATATCCAGAGGACACTTGAAGTCAAGTCAAAACGGGGTATAATCAAAATTAAGTTTTCCACGCTAAGCTTGGATTTCATTCAAATGTGCCAAATAAGCTACACGAGGGATTATATTTATAGTGTTTCCCTCTCATCCACTTCAAGTATTTAGAGACGTGAGACTTATTCTACTTTTATGTGAGATGTCAAAAATGGGCTCTAGAACTCCCACATTCTTCTTTTCTATGCCTCCCTAAGAGTTTATATACCATATTGAACACAGTGAGTTACAAACAATAAGCTTGGATTTCATTCAAATGTGCCAAATAAGCTACACAAGGGGTTATATCTCTCATCCACTTCAAGTATTTAGAGATGTGAGACTTATTCTATTTTTATGTGAGATGTCGTCGAAAATGGGCTCTAGAAGTCCCACATTCTTCTTTTCTATGCCTTCCTAAGAGTTTATATACCATATTGAACACAGTGGGTTACAAACACTTGTGTTGGTAAAACCTTGACCGTGTGAATGGATCTTGATCGTGTGAATGGATCTTGATCGTGTGAGCTTGGTGCGGTCACCATGGTGGTTTGGGCGAGTGACTTTTGGCTGCACCTACTTGAATCGTGATAACTTTTATTTTATGTCATCTTCTTCTTCTTAGTTCTACATCGAACAAGAGAAGGTTTCCTCAAGTGTTTATATACTCCAAAGCTTCTTTGAGGTGCATCTAAGATGGCAAAGAGGAGAGCTTGGCCGTGTGGCATCCTTGGTGTGCTCCTATGACTTGATTGGTCTTGGTTTGGTGTGCTCCATGGGTTTAGTGTGCGTCTTGCCTTGTGTGCATCTTTGGGACCCTACAAAAGGAAGAGAGAGATTTATTCAATACAAGTTTATTTGAGGTGTTCAATTTAAACTCCATAAGAGGAGTATTTGTGGTGTCGCCTCATTCTCTTCTATCCTTTAAGCCATGGCCTTAGTGATAGGCTCAATATGCCCTTGTGGTCCTCCATCAAGAGAAGTGAAGGTGGTGGTGGTCGCAACTGGGTTCACGGTGGCTGGCTGTGAGTAACGTAGTTAAGGTGAGTGAAATGTGTTGGATTGGTGAAGGTAATGGCGAATGGAGAAGAAGGGATGAGACTAAAAATTGGGGTTGAAGGAGACGATCACAGTGGAGGCGCGACCACTGTGAGGTAGTGTGGATGCTTGGGAGTGAGGTAGTATAATCAACTAGTTTTTTTGGGGTGAGGGAGAGTGCCGCGTGGCTGTGTCAATGACGTGTGTGGTCATGTGAGAGTGGAGGCAAGGGAGTGATGTGTAATGGGAAAAATGCCCCCCCTCCTCCTTTACTATTCTTCTCTTTTAAAGAGAAACTTAGGTTAAAATTAGGCTAAATTATTATGGATGGGCTAGGCCCAAAAATAAAATTTTGCATTTTAAATTTTTATTTATATGTTTTTTTTTCTCTATTTTTTTTAAAAGAAAATCTTAAAAAGTTACTACTTAATTTTCCCTTTTTGTTTTCATAAAGAATTTTTTTTTCATTTTTTTTCTTAAAAAACGTAGAATATTACTAAAGAAAATTATTATTATTTTTTTCTCTTTTCTTTTTTCTTCTTTTTATTTTAAAGTTCTTAAAAGAAACCATCTTTTTATTTTTTATCTTTTTTTCCCTTTTTTCTTTCTTTATTATTTTTTCCTTTTTTAATATTTTAATATTTTTTTTCTTTTTTTTCAAATATTTTCATAATAAATATTGTTATTTATTATCATTATTTTATTTTTATATACCCAGACGAAATTGTGTGCTGATAGAAGCTATTGGTGGAATTATCAAACACACTCACTTTGATGATAAGCTAATTGTTTCAACCCTCACAGACAAAGAAAATAGTGTTGATTCAGAGTAATTGTTATTTATGTGGGTGAGAAATAATACAATCTCTTCTTCTACAAGTCACAATGGAATATAACTTCTCTCTTACATGTAAAGTAATTTGAATCTCTAAATTTCAGGAATATATTACTATTTATCATAATTAATTGGGGTAGGGAAGGTGGTAGACAGTGATAGTTGGTGGAAGAAAGATGATTTATATGATTGAACTTGATATTGATGTAGGTTGATCATGTAAATCGTTTGCATATTTGTTACGATAAAATAATTATAAATACTGTGCATTATTGTGAAATTTTGTCTTCAGCAAACTACAAAAAAATTATTATTTAATATTGGTATTAGTAGAAACTTTGATAACACATGGCCTCAAATAATTTTATGTTGATCTTCTAAGTTGTCGCAACCAAAATCGCGACGGGATGACGAATCAAAATTTCAAAAAGATTTAAAAAAATCAGTATGAATTTTGGAGTCACCACCATAGTTTATTCAGGAAAACTATGGAAAAACCATAAAGATAAGATTTACAAAAACCATATTCGGGTTCAAGAGTCAATTACAATTACAAATAGGGAAGGAATCAGCAACTAACAACATCCGTCCTAAGACAATTACCCTTAGTTGAGTGTGCGAAATTAAATAGCATTTTAAAAATGTTTATTTTCCTCTAAAATTAGAAATTAGAGAAAGAAAAAAGAAAAGAAATGGACTAAAATATTTGAGTTTTTGAGGACCCGACAAAGATTGACCTTGCGTCTACATATTCTTATTCAGAATGAAAAATCAGGATTACTTTTTTGATATTTTGAAGACATGATGATGCCTGCGACCTGTGTTTCAAAGTTTATTTAAAATAAAGATCAATGACGACGCAACGTACCTCAAGTTTATTTAAAATAAAGGACGTCACACGCGAATGATCTACCCATCCCTCAAAATTTAAAGAAAGACGACATGATGACACGAATGATCGTACTCGTATCTAAAAAATTATTTAAAAAGTAGACATGATGATGCAGACGGTTATACCCATCCTTCAAAGTAAAAAAAAAAAAAGACATGATGATACAAGCGATCATACTGTACCTCAAAAAGAAGACATACGATACGCGCAGCTGTACCTGTACCTCAACAATCATTCAAAAGGACGAAATGACGATGCAAGTGGTTATACCCGTACTCAAAATTTATTTAAAGAGTCAATAGCCATTAAATCGAACGTAGAGCCGAGAGCCCAAAAATCAAACGTGGGGCCGGGAGCCCAAAAATCAAGTAAATAAATCGAATAAGAAAAAAAAAACCAAGGCAATGGTAGGCACAAATCCTAAATCGTGACCCATAAATCGCGACCCAACACCCATAGCGTTTGACCATAACCTATCATCCTAACAAAAAAAAAAAAAAGTAGCATAACAACAGTAAATAGAACTCAAACCCCAGGACTAGTGTCCTTAACAGACCATCAATCAAAACACAAGGACCCACGGTCCATAACAGATACAATCCAACGAGGAAGAGAGGATCGAAAAATCTAACAATGAAAATAGGTAAAGTCCAGATACAAACCGAATCAAACTACAATGTGTAAAAAAAAAATAACACTAAAAAAGGTTTAAAGAAAAAGGCAAAGAAGAGAGGAGGAGTCTCAATAGTCGTCCGGGGGGAAGCTAGGGCTCGCGGTGGCTGTTAGCGTGAGGTACACCTCGCGGTATCGCCGGTTTAGTGCGGTGGTCAGGATAAGAGGAGAAGGTTGGCGGGGATGCGCGAGCCCCGGTGGTTATGATTGGGGTTCAGGGGTAGCCCGTGGTGGCTTGGGGGTGGCCAAAATTGGGGGTGAGGGCTAGAGAATGGAAGGTGAATGTGGTGATCGGTAGGAATGGGGGGGAGGGTGAAGTGAGACGTGAGAGTGATTGGTTGTGAGTATGTGAAACGGAAGAGAGAAGGTGCAGAGAGGGATTTTGGTTGGTTTTAGGACCCGAGGGCACGGTGAGGGTGAGGCCTAGAGTGGTGGCCGACGAGTACTGGCGATGGAGGCGTGATGGAGTGGAAATGGAGGCTGCTTGGGGGAGGGGCTTTGGACGTGTGATGGTGTGGCTTGAACCGGGACCTTTGGATGGTGGTGAGAGTGAAGATGAAAAGATGAAAAGAGGTGGTCGTGGAAGAGGGAAGGTGCAGAGTGAGGAAAAATGAAAAGGGCACGGTGAAGAATCATGATAGAAGGAGTGGATGGGGTAGGAGAAATGTGAATGGACCAAAAGATCCTCAGTCCGAGAAAAATAAAAATGTGAGAATAATAGGTCAAAATTACCTCGAGATGCGCACCCCCAAATGTTGATTTCCAATCTCCTTCAATCTCTTACGCCAGTTCTTTCTTACCCCTCAAAAATCCTCTCTTTATTACTATTCCCTCTTATAAAGCCAAAATTAGGTGAAGTGCTTGATACCTAGGGTAAAAACCAATTGGGCCCAAAAAGAAAGGTCTCGTAAAAAAAGTTAACAGAATTTTTTTTTATTCTCTTCTCTTTTTTATATCAACGTAAAATGTTACATAGAATTAATTTTCTTTCCTTTTTTTTCTTTTTTAAAAAAAATAATTTTTTTATCATTTTTTCTTTTCTTAAAAAAGGTAGAATGTCGCTAAAGCAAGTTATTATTATATTATTAGTATTTTTTATTTTCTCTTCCCCCTTTTTTTTATTTTGAGGTGCTTAAAAGAAAACACATTTTTCTTTTTTTATATTTTTATATTTTTCTTTTTTTCAAATAATTTGTTATCTATTTATTATATTTACCCGAACGAAATTGGGTGCTGACATAAGTGTTCACTTTAACTGATACAATCACACTTTTGATATGTAAATTTGTAAAAACTAAATGTTCTTAATATGTAAATTTGTAAAAACTAAATGTTCTTAATAGTTTTTTCATTCCTCTCATTCTCTCAATCTTTGTGTGCCACTAGTTTTTCTTTCTCACAAGATTGAAAATATTCTCAAATTCAATGGTTATCAAAATAGATCCTTTCGATTGAGAAAAAAAATATTTGAAGTGAGTTCAAAGTTTGAAATTCAAAACAATAGTATGCACCTAAAGTAATACATTTCCATGTATTTTTACTATATAACCAAACTTTAGAAAGTGGTATTTCTTATACTTTTTTATGCATGATAGTTTTATTAAAAAATGTTACTATTATATAAATAATGTATCTCTATCTTGACTTCCTTATGTCAATGCCACTTTTTAGGAATTTCCCTGAATTTGTAATTTTAGCATTTTTTATGATTAGTTTGAATACATTATCAAAGAGGTCTATAGTGGTACATGTTGAATACAATCCGCTTGATCCTCTTCTCAGAGCGAGTGAATTCCTTGAAGGTGATGTAAATTGTGAGTTTGGCTAGTCCCCATTTCCTAAAAATATTAAACAAGTAATCCTCTTTTTCATACTTTAACATTCTCCTCCTCCCTCAATCCCTCACTCTCATGGAATATACCTTTCAATTATTGTTGAATATAGAGGAAATACGGGTTGAGATAATCTCCCTTGTGGGTAAACCACACATAGGGTAATCTATTTATAATAAAGAGAGACATAACTAAAAGAGTAACTGAAAGTAAACAAATATCTAACAATATCTTAACAATATCTAACACTCCCCCTCAAGCTAGAGCATACAAATCGTATGTGTCAAACTTGTTACAAATATAATCAATTCTAGGTCCCCGTAAAGACTTAGTAAAAATATATGCTAACTGATCACTTGAGTTAACAAACTCAATCTTGATGTCTCCAGACATAATCTTTTCTCGAATGAAATGACAGTCAATCTTAATGTGTTTGATCCTCTCATGAAAGACAAGATTAGAACTAATACGAAGAGCAGTCTGATTGTCACACACAAGTGTCATTTGAGTGACATCTCCAAATTGTAACTCTCCAAGCAATTGTTTGAGCCAAACAAGTTCACATGAAGCTAAGGCCATAACTCTATATTTTGCTTCTGCACTGGATCTTGCCACAACACTCTGTTTCTTACTTTTCCACGAAATCAAGTTACCACCAATAGAGACACAATATCCAGATGTAGATCTTCTATCCGAAGGAGATCCTGCCCAATCAGCATCTGAGTAGCAAACAATTCTTGTATGGTTATTAAAACCATATAATAATCCTTTTCCAGGAGATCCTTTAATATAGTCCAAGATATGAATGAATGCATTCCAATGATCTTCACATGGGGAATTAAGAAATTGGCTTACCACACTGACTGCAAAGGAAATTTCAGGATGAGTAATTGTACGATGATTCAATTTTTTAACCAATCTTCTATATTGCTCAGGATCAGATATAGGCTCCCCCTGATTTGGTAGAAGTTTAGTATTAGGATCCATGGGTGTATCAACAGACTTTGAACTCATCAACCCAGTTTCCTCCAAAATATCCATGACATACTTCCTCTGAGATATAACAATACCATCATTGGACTATGCCACCTCAATACCCAAGAAATATCTAAGTTTGCCAAGATTTTTGGTCTGAAAATAGTGACATAGATGTTGTTTTAACTGAGAGATGTCATGGTTGTCACTACCTGTAAGAACGATGTCATCAACATATACTATCAAGTAAACACATCCAGCACTCGAGTGTCGATAAAAGACAGAATGATCTGCTTCACATCGAGTCATACCAAATTGTTGAACAACTTTGCTAAACTTTCCAAACCAGGCCCTAGGAGATTGTTTTAGGCCATATAGAGATTTGTGAAGACAACATACCATCCCAGAAGACTCCCCCTGAGCAATAAACCCAGGAGGTTGCTCCATATAGATTTCTTCTTGCAAATCACCATTGAGAAAAAAAATTTTAACATCCAGTTGATAAAGAGGCCATTGTTGAAGAACAGCCATGGCGATAAATAAATGAGAAGAAGCCATTTTCGCCACAGGGGAAAAGGTATCTCCACAATCCAACCTAAAAATTTGAGTATAACCTTTGGCCACAAGATGAGCTTTGAGGCGATCAATAGTACCATCAAGTCCAACTTTGATAGCAAACACCCACCCACCTACAACCAACAACAGATTTTCCAGACGGTAACGAGACCAATTCCCAAGTTTCACTATTATGAAGAGCACTTAGTTAATCTAACATGGCCTGACGCCAACCAGGATGGGCTAAAGCTTCACGGACATTTTTTGGAATGGTCACAGAAGAAATAAAGGAAAGACATGTATAAAAAGGTAATGACAGTCGATGATAACTCAAAGCAATATAATGGGGAGAGGGATTACGTGTAGAACGAATACCTTTTTGGAAGACAATGGGAAGGTCAGACTCAGGTGTCAGATCTGGAGAAGACAGAGTAGTTGACACTTGAGTGGAGTCACATGGTGGTGGTTGTGATTGATTTCGGCAACTATAAACTTGAAGAGGCGGTGTAGAAGAAGCTAACTGTGGAATAGAAACTAATGGTGAAGAAGACACAGTTAGAGGGTCACACATAACAGGAACATTAAATGTACTAGGAGTGTTGACAGGAGTGGATGGAGAAAGAGGTGAAGATTGAATTTTAAAATAAAGAGAGAACTCATCAAAGGTGACATCTGCAGACACAAAATAACGGTTAAGAGAAGGATAAAAACATTTGTATCCTTTTTGTGATCTTGTAAATCCTAAGAAAACACATTTATGTGATCTAGGAGAAAGCTTATCAAGACCAGGACTTAAATTATGAACAAAACATGTAGACCTGGAAATTCTTAGAGGTAAGGAATGAAGAGGTTCATGAGGGAATAAAATAGAATGAGGTATTTTATTATCTAAAACCGAAGAAGGCATGCGATTAATGAGATAACCTGCAGTAAGAAGAGCATCACCCCAAAAATGTTGAGGAACCTCTCCATGAATTAAAAGAGTGCGAGTTGTTTCAATAAGATGTCTATTTTTGCGTTCAGCTACACCATTTTGTTGAGGTGTATAAGCACAAGAAGTTTGATGCAGGATACCGTGAGAAGCCATGAATTGTTTAAAAGAATGAGAAAGATATTCACGACCATTATCACTGCATAAAACTCTAATAGAAACACCGAACTGATTTTGAATTTCATTGAAAAAAGTTTGAAAGATATGAAATAATTCAGAACGATTTTTCATCAAGAATAACAAAGTGCATCTGGAATAATCATCAATGAAAGTAACAAAGTATTGAAAACCTAAAGTAGTCTTAACGCGGCTAGGTCCCCAAATGTCAAAGTGAACCACGACAAAAGGGGACAAAGCACCACGTGTGACACTACAAGGAAAGTAAGTACGACTGTGCTTGCCTAATTGACACGACTCACACGCCAAACTAGACAAGTTAGATAAGGCAGGGACAAGTTTCTGTAACTTGGCAAGACTTGGATGACCTAACTGAGCATGAAGAAGAGAGGGAGACTCCATAACTGCACCAACATGTGTAGAGGGATGGAGATGATAAAGAGCATGAGACTCATATCATGTGTCAATCACCTGTTTCAAACTTCGGTACTGTAAACACACAAAATTATTGGTAAAAGAAACAACACAATCAAGAGAACGAGTTAGACGACTGATGGACAACAGGTTAAAAGGAGACTCAGGGATATAAAGAACATTATCAATGGTTAAAGAAGGGAAAAGTTTAACAGTTTCAACACCATGAGATGATACTCTAGAACCATCAGCTAGTGTAACAGAAGGTAAAAGATTAGAAGAAGATAAAGAGGAGAACAAAGATTTGTTACTAGTAATATGATCAGTGGCTCCTGAATCAAAAACCCAAGGACCTGGAGAAGAGGATTGGGCTAGACCAACAAAATATGTATCTGTCTGTGCGAAAAATGTAGTGGAACTAGAAGATTGTTGATCCTTATACCATTTGAGAAATTTGTTGAACATAACAGGTGTGTCGGATGCAGCAGAAGAAGGAGGATTTCCAGCAGACAAAGGTGGGGAAAGATTGGTCTGAACAACTGCAGCAGATCGAGGAGGACGACCATGTAATGCATAACACTTGTTAATCTTGTGACCTAGCTTGCCACAATGTTCACACTTAGGATGCCCTTTTCCCTGTTTGCGAGGGCGAGTCTGGTCATCACGGTGAGATGCCAACACAGAAGAATCATTAACAAAATTGGAAGTAGTAAAAGGAGTGGAAGAAGTCATGAAGGGAAGGAGATCAAACCCTAAAAAAAAAATCCAAAGTAATCCAATCAACCCACGAAGCACAGATCCAAAATGAGAAGACCAAAACAAGTTCGTCGAGACTAAACGACGTAGGAGACAATAGATGACCAACTCCGATAGTGGTGATCTCAACGACACGGTGATCACCTTAGCAAAACGAATAAAACCGTATGTCACCGGTCAAAAATGAAACTCCAACGACGGCTCTGACGACTGCTCTGGCGACAGTGACAGTGACAACAACGTGAACCAATACACTAGGTAAGTTCCCAAGAAAGAGAGGTGGGTCACTAATTGACACACTTAAATACCAAGTCTTTCCTTGTCAGAACCTTCCTAGACATGCACTTTCACACTACCAAATAATATTCAGTAACAAAAATAACTCTTTTCTGATGTGGAAGATTAGTTTAACCGGCAGCAGCGGCGATGGCGACTTAAGCAGTGGATAATGGCGAAAAAATTTCAAAATAACCTTAAGCTCTAGATAACATGTTGAATATAGAGAAAATACGGGTTGAGATAATCTCCCTTGTGTGTAAACCACACATAGGGTAATCTATTTATAATAGAGAGAGGTACAACTAAAAGAGTAACCGAAAATAAACAAAATAAACAGAAGATATTGTGGTTAACAATATCTAACAATATCTTAACAATATCTAAACAATATCTAACACTCCCCCTCAAGCTGGAGCATATAAGTCGTATGTGTCAAGCTTGTTATAAATATAATCAATTCTAGGCCCCCGTAAAGACTTAGTAAGAATATCTGTTAACTGATCACTTGAGTTAACAAACTCAGTCTTGATGTCTCCAGACATAATCTTTTCTCAAATGAAATGACAGTCAATATCGTTAGGACTATTATTATTCTTATTGGCATTGCTCTCAAATCCGAATGATGTGATAACCATGGTTTAGTTATAATTGAATTATTTTAATTATGTTTTTATTTAGTTGAACCATGCCATCATTATACCATGATTGTATAGTGCCAATATCTTATTTTAACAATTGATTTTAGAGTTTGTCCCTTACATGGAATAACTTTTAAAAATAGGAGCGTCCTTGCATGAGTTTGTTGACCGAAAGTAATTATTCTATATTATATTCACTATTCTATTTATTTAGAAAAATTCTAAAAGCATTCCCTTATTTTGACCACATGTGCTTTGGTCTTGTTACATTCAAAATGTTAAAAATGTATGTAAGCTTTTTTAATTGTGCACTTCAATTCTAACACAACTATAAAAGGGTGGAAAAGTACATATGTTAACTATTTTTAGGACCATTTTTAAACGGTTGTTATGGAGTTGGAATGAAAGTAGACAACTCGAAAAAGTTTTATTTGTGGATTTTTTGCTCATTTTGAAAGTAATTAATGCATCAAAGTACATATGGTTCAATATAATCTTTTTTTGGTTTTCCCTTTTGGTTGTAACACTTTGTTGTAACATGCTTCAATTTTTTTGATTGCATTGTATGCTTTTTTTTTTTTGCACATTCACCATCTTTTTTTCTATTCTTTTCTTTTTCTAAATGCAATAATATTATCTTAAAAGTTGTTATTTTATATATTGGTAGTAGAATAACATTTCTTTATTGGTAATTTTGTGAATAATTTACAAAATATATGTTTTGGCTTAATTTTATGCCCACTATACATTTTAATAAACAAATTGACTTAGACGACTAATTACGTGGTCATGGCACTTCATTACTTTTTACTTTCTACTGGTGAAACAACATCTCTCAAAGAAAAAACATGTTTTTTTTTTTTCATCATAGCATAAAGAAAATGTTTTTTTGGCAATGAACTAGGATAATTTTAATTACTTTTAATTCAAGATTACATTAGCATATTTATTATAAGCTTAATAGATTAACTGCATTTATTGCTCAGTGATGCCTTTTTGGCATCATCCATGCTAGATAAGAATGGAGATCCTAACTGTGATAGGGTAATGCACTAGTGGGCTATAATGGGTGGAATTAAAAGATCGCAACTTACTTGTTTATCATAATTTTAAAGTCTATGAATTGTAACTTGTTTGCTTGTATTAATTACTTGCTTTTATTACTTACCATTCACTAACACAAGTGACCGACTAAACAATTTGTCTAAATCTACAGAACAGTTTGACGAGGTAGTGACATGGCTTGGAGAGAGTTCAATGTTGGCAGAGGAAATGACTAGGGACGGTGGTGCTGAGGCTCCAGTAGATGGAGAAAATGATGAAACAATTGAAACTGTAATAGATGGATACAATGATAATACAACTGAAGAAGAGGAATAAATAAGCGATGGAGGGTTGATGTAAAAAAAAAAAAGACAAATGACAATTTATTTTAAAATATTTTAGTATAATTGTGTAACATTGTTGGATTTCAATTTTTTTTTTTTTCAATTCAGTTAAGTTGTATGAATTAAGTTTGTTAGCATACTAACTTCGTTAACTTAAAACTACTTTATATGACTCGCATTCATATGTGTTATATTTATATTATGATGGTCATAATTAGAAACATGTGTGTTAGAAAAAGAGGCTGAGATCAAGAGGGGAGTGAATTGATCTTTGAAAGATTTTTGCAAATTTACAGATTATCTATTTTTCAGATTAAGATTTCATATCAGTTCTTGAATCACACAGCAAGCAATCAAAAATAAATGCAGTCACAAAATTAAAGAAGAGAAATATTTAGAAAGATATCACCAAGGTTTATACTGGTTCACCCAATCCCAGGGCTACGTTCAGTCTCCAGCCAAATTCCAGCTGGGTTCCACTAGATTGAATGTTTTACAGATTACAACCTTAACCTCACACTCAATCTACCACAAGAACCACAATTCCAGTTCCTGCACCTAACCTTTCACCAAGAACCAAATTCCAGTTCTTGACCTACCCTGCAGCCAAATTCCAGCTACAGAAATCAGTGCCCACAATTCCAGACACCCACAATATAGTAAAAGAAAGTAAAGAAACAAACAGAAGAAACTTAGAACGCTCAAACCAGTTTTATGCAGTTTTGCAATATGTTGTTTCTTCTGCAAAAGAATGCAATTTTGCCTCAAGAAAGAACTTTGATGAATTTCACAAAAACTAGCGTAATTCATTCTCGAAAGTAGCACTTTTGATTGCTTGATTGATTGCTAAAAGATGTATATCAGATGTGTTTTAAAAAGTTCAAACAACTCTGTTTATATAGAAGATTTTAAAAACTGCTGGTTTATTTAATCTGTTAAAATAATCTTTTAATCTGTTAAAAGTCTTGTTTTAATCTGTTAAAACTTCTTTTAATCCATTAAAACGTTCTTGATTATTTTCCATATTTGTTTTAACTGATACGACAACGTTTATATCAATTAAAACTCTTTGTAAAAAATCTTCTAATTTGTTTTAATCGATTGTTTCGTCTTTCAATCGATTAAAATACTGCAAGATATTCTTATAAACTTTTTCAAGTGATTTTAACTGATAAAAATCCGTTTTAATCGATTAAAATGCTTAGTACATGTTTTCTTAAGTTAATTTAATCGATTGAAACGTAGTTTAATCGATTAAAATAATTCTGATCGGTCATAACTCAATTCTGATCGATCATATATGGTTCTGATCGGTCATAAACCCATTCTGATCGGTCAACCAGCACTCCAAGTGGTTTTAATCGATTATTTCGAAGTTGTATCGATTAAAATACTGCCAGAACACTTCTCTGAACATTTTAAGTGATTTTAATCGGTTATTTCGAAACTGTATCAGTTAAAATACTGACTGAAGGTTTTCAAAACTTCCTTTAATGAAAACAATCGGTTATTTCGAAGTTATATTAGTTAAAATCCTGTTATAAAAGTGTGAAGAACATTTTAGTTGATAAAGCTTATATTCTATTAGTTAAAATAGTTGATTAAGAAAGCTTTTGTCAAAATGCTTTGTTTTTAACCGTTAAAACATTTTTTTTGAGGCATTTGCAAAATCTTTTAAATGAAGAAACCTCATACAGCAGAAAGATAAAAATGATTATACCTAAGCGGAGCTGTAGACACACTAATCCTTTTACAGACACACTAATCCTTCTACTCTTTTATCCAAGTGACCTTTGACTGCCACAAAGTAGCCTTTGACTCCATTCTTGACTTCATCAAATCAACAAGATTTTTGCCAAATTAATTCAATAAGATCTTCATTACTTTCAGTCTCCCCCTATTTGATGAAGACAAACATCACTTTGAAAAATAACTCTGCAGAAGAAGTCACTTGATAAAATAGATTAGTTAATCAAAAAATTAATCAGTTTATTCATTTCTCCCCCTAAATTGCTGCTCTCCTAAAGAATTATTTCTCCCCCTAAATTGATCAGAAGTAAAGCAATTATTTCTCCCCCTTTTGACTTCATCAAAAATAGGGAACAGAGGAACAATATTATGCATGGTATGTATCAGGTATTAGATTTCGAAAACAGTAAAAATATGGATACGATACTTTACTCATGTGAAGACCAATTAAAGTTGATTCAAACTTATCTTCATTAACACGTTTGTAATGAATACAATTAACATGTGTAAAGATAAGGGAACCATGCTTTAGTAGCATGTTACAAGAACAACCATTAACTAAAGCCTTTAATTTTTCTTTCCAAAGTAAAAATCGATTAAAAACAGGACGAAATCGATTAAAAAGTTATTGCTAATTGATTGAAATTATGTTTTAATCGATTAAAATAGTGATGAAATTTGAAAGTTTAAAACATAAGTTGATTTAATCGATTAAATCGACATTTAATCGATTAAAATGGTTTGAAAAATGCAGTATAAGTGCTTTTAATCGATTTAATGCTTGTTTATATCGATTAAAATAACCAGTTTTGAAAACTAAGAAATGTTTGATGCATCTAAAATGCCTAATTCAGTACGAATTTTGTAAAACTGATCACGAGTAAGAGGTTTTGTAAAAATGTCTGCTAGTTGTTTTTCAGTTTCTATAAAGAAAATTTCACAATCACCTTTCAAAACATGATCTCTAATGAAATGATGTCTGATTTCTATATGTTTTGTCCTAGAATGTTGAATTGGATTTTTAGTTAACATAATGGCACTAGTATTATCACATAAGAGAGGAATTTTTCTGAGAATTAAACCATAATCCTCAAGCTGTTGTTTGATCCAAAGAGATTGAGCACAACAATTTCCAGCTGCAATGTATTCTCGCTTTAGTGGTAGAAAGAGCAGCACATGATTGCTTTTTACTATGCCAAGAGATTAGACTCGCTTCCAAGGAGATGACAAATGCCATCGGTGCTTTTCCTATCAAGCTTACAACCTGCAAAATCTGAGTCGAGTATCCAATTAAGTTTAGTTTGGACTCACCAGGATACCATAACCCAACATTTAAAGTTCCTTTGAGATATTTGAGGATTCTTTTTGCAGCAGTAAGATGAGATTCTTTTGGTGCAGATTGAAACCTGGCACACATACAAACACTAAACATAATGTCGGTCTACTTGTCGTTAGATATAGTAAAGAACCAATAAGCCCTCTATATTTTGTTTCATCAACAGGTTTTCCTTTTTCATCGAATCAAGATAGCAATTTGTGGACATTGGTGTTGATGATTCTTTGCAATGTTCCATCTCAAATTTCTTTAAAAGTTCTCATGCAAGTATTTAGATTGATGAAGAAAACTTCCTTCTTGAAGTTGTTTAACTTGTAATCCAAGAAAGTAGTTGAGTTCCCCTATCATAGACATTTCAAATTCTCCCTGCATATCTTTGATGAAATCTTTACATAAAGACTCATTAGTGGCTCCAAATATGATGTCATCAACGTATACTTGAACCAGAATTACATCAATATTTAATTTCTTTAAAAATAAAGTTTTATCAACCTTTATCAACCAAATATGATGTCATCAACGTATACTTGAGTAACAAAAACTTCTTCATTCAAGTAGCCATTTAGAAAAGCACTTTTGACATCCATTTGAAATAAGCTGAAACTTTTTACTGAAGCATAAGCAAGTAAAAGTCTAACAGCTTCTAATCTAGCAACTGGAGCATATGTTTCATCAAAATCAATTCCTTCTTGCTGATTATAACCTTTAGCAACTAACCTGGCCTTGTTTCTAGTGATTATACCATTTTCATCCATTTTATTCCTAAAAACCCACTTTGTACTTACACTATTTGCATTATCTGGTTTTGGAATTAATTCCCATACTTCATTTCTTGTAAATTGATTTAATTCATCATGCATAGCATTAATCCAATTATTATTCTTTAATGCATCAGATATGGTTTTTGGTTCAACTTGTGATACAAATGCCATGTGATTGCAAAATTTATTTAAAGATCTTCTAGTGGAAACTCCCTGATTTATTTCACCAATAATGTTGTCTATTGAAAAATTTCTTGGAATTTTCCAATCTTTAGGCAACTGCTCTTCAGTTTCTTCAATCTCTTCAACCTATTTTTGAGAAACTGTTGATTCTGGCAGTTTTAACTGATACATTTTATCAGTTAAAACATCATCTTCTGTTCTATACTTAGAAATATTCTGCATACTTGGGTTAGTCTCATCAAATATAACATGAACAAATTCTTCTACAGTATTTAGCCTTTTGTTAAAGATTCTATATAGGCATGGCTATTTAATGAATACCCCAAGAATATAGCTTCATCTGATTTGGAATCAAACTTTCCAAGATTTTCTTTTCCATTGTTTAGGACAAAAACCTTACTTCCAAATACTCTAAAATAGTTTATGTTAGGCTTTTTACCTTTGAATAATTCATAGGGAGTTTTCTTAAGAAAATGTCTGATTAAAACACGGTTTAATACATGGCAAGCAGTGCTAACGGCATCAGCCCAAAAATATTTTGGTAATGCTTTCTCATTAAGTATTGTCCTAGCTAGCTCTTCAAGAGAACGATTTTTCCTTTCAACTACACCATTCTGTTGAGGAGTTCTAGGAGCAGAAAAATTATGCTTGATACCATGTTTATCACAAAATTTATTGAAATTTTCGTTTGAAAATTCTCCCCCATGATCACTTTGAATACAAGAGATAAAATAGCCTTTTTCATTTTGAATTTGTTTCACAAATTTCTTAAACAAATGGAAAGTATCAGATTTTAATTTTAAAAATAATGTCCAGGTAAATCTTGAGTAATCATCTACTATAACCAGTGCATATAGATTTCCTCCTAAGCTCATAGTTCTAGAAGGACCAAAGAGATCCATATGCAAAAGTTCAAGAGGTCTAGATGTTGAAACAATATTTTTCTGTGAAAAAAAATTCCTTACTTGTTTCCCCTTTTGACATGCATCACATACTTTGTCTTTCACAAACTTAAGCTTAGGTAAACCATTTACAAGATCTTTAGAAATCCGTTTATTTAGATGATTCATATGAATATGAGCTAACCTCCTATGCCACAACCAAGAATAATTTTCTTTAGAAATTAAGCAGCAGTTTTTAGCAGAATTAGTATCTAACATGTAAATATTGTTGATCCTCTTACCAGTAATCAGTACCTGTTCTGAATCTGATTTAATTATCTGACATTGATTTTGCCCAAAGACAACTTTGTGTCCTTTATCACAAAGCTGACTAATACTAATCAAATTATGTTTTAAACCTTCAACATATAACACATTGTTAATAATACCTGATTCTGTGCATTTGATGTCACCTATTCCAAGGATTCTTCTTTTGTTATTATCCCCATAAACAACAGTCTCACCATTCTTTAGTTTTAAGTTGCAAAATTTTGTAATATCACCTGTCATGTGTTTAGAACAGCCACTATCAAGGTACCAGAGGTCTTCATTTTGTCTTGCCTGAAAATAATTTAGTATAGTTGCAGTACAAAATGATACAGAATTGGAATAAACAATTAATTCTGCACTGGAAGTAAAATTTTAATCGATTAATTTGATATTCAATCGATTAATCAAGTTCTGGAGAGAATATATCAGAATAATAATCGATTTAAACGAGGAATAATCGGTTAATTTTGTCCTGTTAATGATTTTAACTGATATAAATTCATTTTAATCGATTAAAACAGTTAAACTAGATTCCAGAGAACATTTTAATCGATTAATTCGCATTTCAACCAATTAAAACTGTACGAACAACTTTTCTGGTATTCTCTGTAAGTGATTTTAACCGATTAAAATAGTTTTATATCAATTAAAACATTCAGTCCATGAGTCCAGAACAAATTTTGCTGTTTTGAGTTCCAAGGGACATCCAGATTTTGTTCCTGCAAAACAGATTAGGCATATTTCTGGTACCCTTTTTTTTTAATTACTGGGTCCAATCATGTTATTTGAAATGGCTTTTTGGGTATCCACTTCATTTTACCTTTAGGAATAACATATTTCTTAAGTCTACAATATTTCACAGAATGACCTTTTTTCATGCAGTAAAAACATTTAACAAATGGAGATGACACATATTTATTATATGCAAAATAATTTTTAAGTGCTCTAGTTTTCTTTCCAATGGGAGGTGTAAAACCTATTCCACCACGGTTAATAACTAATTTTTGAGAATCAAGTATCATATCAAGACTAGTCTTTCCTTGTGCTAGTTTAGATGCAGTCTTTATTAAATATGTTACTTTCTCTTGCAACTCAGGACAATTTTTACAATCTTTAACATTACACATGCAATCAAAGTTATTACCTATATCTAAATTTTCATTTTTGATTTCTTCATCAACTATTTTCTTTTCAAGAAGAGTGATCTTGTTTTCTAATAGATTATTCATACTTTTTAATCTTTTGTTTTCAGTTTCTAATCTTTTAGCTACAACATGCATTTCATAAGAGGCATCTTGTAAAGAACTATAGTTCAGAGTAGTTGTTGAGTCAGAACTTACACTGGTTATTGGCGAATCCGAGTTGACCATTAAGCATATCTCTGTTGTTTCTTCATAGGTCATTTCAAGGATCTTCCACATTTGCGCAGCAGTTTGACAATGTGCTATCCTGAAAAAATCGTTTCTGTTAAGTGCAGATATGATGATATTTTTGGCAATACAATCATCTTGGATTAATTTCTTTTCACAGTCATTTAAGCTACACCAATCTTTGTTAAAAATATCAGTTTCTTGTTCAATGATATTCCAAACATTTATACTAATAGATTCAATAAAGATCTTCATCCTAATTTTCCAAAATGGATAATCTGTTCCACAAAACAGTGGAGGTCCATCAATACAAGGACCCTTAGAAAATTTATTTCCAGCCATGGATCGAAAGACTTGAATAACTCTCAAGAACCTTGCTCTGATACCAATTGTTAGAAAAAGAGGCTGAGATCAAGAGGGGGGGTGAATTGATCTTTGAAAGATTTTCGCAAATTTACTACTACGTCCCTGCCCTTTGTACACACCGCCCGTCGCTCCTACCGATTGAATGGTCCGGTGAAGTGTTCGGATTGCGGCGACGTGGGCGGTCAGCCGCTCGCGACGTGGTGAGAAGTCCACTGAACCTTGTCATTTAGAGGAAGGAGAAGTCGTAACAAGGTTTCCGTAGGTGAACCTGCAGAAGGATCATTGTCGATGCCTCGCAACACAGCCAATTCGACTGGCGAACATGTATGTTATCCGTACCCTGTTCTCTGCCGGGGGTGGCATGGCAACGACGTGCCCCTCCCCGATGGACGAATAAACACTAACTAACCCCGGCGCTTTGTGCGGCAAGGAACGTTGAAAGCTGTTAGGTGCGGCACACGAGGGACGGTGTCCCGCGGGTGTCGTCACGACAAGACATGCTAAGTCATGCAAAATGACTCTCGGCAACGGATATCTCGGCTCTCGCATCGATGAAGAACGTAGCGAAATGCGATACTTGGTGTGAATTGCAGAATCCCGTGATGCCTTAACTTCATCACCATCAACATTGTCTTAACTGAAATTGATACTAGGATTTGGGCCTTCGATTTGATACCTTTACCGTATATAAAAGTTATCTATCACGCATCAACGCCACATCACAACAAAAAAATTCAGATTCATTACTATGCCATTAGAGTATTGACCCTAAATGCAATTCACAACTCAAAAGTTTCCATATTTTACACATCCAAAATGCAGTCCAATCCCAAGATGTTTTCCAAATATCAATACATTAAACGATACATGAAAACGAAGACAGTGAACTCATCGAAAAACACCAATGATCGTTGTTCTCTTCTCATTGTAGTTCGCTCAGCTACAATGTCTGTTTACTACTGAAATCTGCGACTCAGGGTTGCCCTTATCTACAGTAGCCGTTTGCTTCCTTCCTCTTCTGCCCTCTTTCAGTTTTTGTTCCTCCCGTCCACTTGTTTTTCCCACTGTTGTTTGTGGTTGTTAGAGTAGATTTTTCAGTCTTTATCGCCACTTTCTCCTCTCATTGTTGTTCCTCTACTCCCTGTTCTCTTCCACTCTTCTTCTACCTTAATTATTTCAGTTTCTTCCTCTTTAAGATTGAAATCGACGCTTCCACCGACTCACGTATTCGCTTTGTCTTCCTTTCTCACTTACCATACCATACATCTACCTCAACTAACACCAAACTCAGTCCATTCTGTTTAATCCACGTATGGTCGAGGCTGAACATTTTCCAAATATTTATCACATAAAGGTCTTTTTTGTTTCTTTTTCCTTTCTTGGTACTGAATAGCTCCTATTGCAATTGCTATACCTAGTGATGAGGTGTTCCAAGCAAAGCATACCAGTCTACAGTGGTCATCTATGAATTTGACATTGAATCGAAAGGTGCGTGATGTAAGGCAGTGTCTGCAGGGGACATGGAGCGCTTCCTGTTTCTTCTTCTTCTTCTCCTCTCTTTCACGATCAGAGCATGCACATGAACGTGCAGAGCAACTGCTTGCTCATTGCTCCAATCAGAGTCATCTTCATCAGACACAAGGCTTCATGCTTACTAGAGCTCTCGACAAAGATGACATTCTACTCGCCCGATTTATTTACTCCTCGGCTTCTCTCGGCTTTCCCTCCTACGCCTATTCTATTTTCATCTACAACCACCGACCCAGCATCTATCTCTACAACAACCTCATTTGGGCTCTATCTTCATACAATCCCACTCGTGCCATTTCTCTCTTCAACGCCATTCGCCTCCTTGGCATGCGACCCGATTCTTACTCTTTCCCTTATGTTCTCAAGGCCGTTGTTTCTTCATCTGCTCTCCATCTCGGCCAGCAGATTCATTGCCAAGCTATTCTCTCTGGTTTCAGCACCCATCCCAGTGTTCTCACCTCCCTCATTCACATGTATTCTTCATGCGTTCACGTTTCCTCTGCTCGCAAGCTATTTGATGCAGCCACTACCAAACAGGTTTCCCTCTGGAACGCTATGCTCGCAGGTTATGCGAAGGTGGGTGATATGTCCAATGCGCGCAACTTGTTTGAATGTATGCCTGCAAAGGATAGGGACGTTGTTTCATGGACTGCTCTTATTTCGGGATACACGCACACTCATAATCCCCATGAGGCTATCACGCTATTCCGCACTATGCTGCTCCACAATGTGCAACCGGATACAATTGCGATTTTAGCTGTCCTCTCTGCTTGTGCAGACTTGGGTGCTCTTCAGTTGGGGGACTGGATTCACAGCTACATTGAAAAGCATAAACTGCGTAAGATTGTCTCTCTTTGTAACTCTCTCATAGACATGTATGCCAAATCAGGTGACATATGTAAAGCACGCCAACTGTTTGATAATATGGCGCGTAAATCGGTTATAACCTGGACAACTATGATTGCTGGACTTGCTTTACATGGTCTTGGAAAGGAGGCCCTTGAGGTATTTTCATGCATGGAGAAGGCTGGAGTCAAGCCAAATGAAGTGACATTTATCGCCATCCTTTCTGCTTGTAGTCATGTTGGAATGGTTGAACTGAGCCGCCATTATTTTACGTGTATGAGATCTAAGTATGGCATTGAACCCAAGATAGAGCACTACGGGTGCATGGTTGATTTGCTTGGACGTGGTGGCTATCTTGAAGAAGCAAAGGAGCTAGTTAGAGTGATGCCGTCTGAAGCCAATGCAGCAGTATGGGGATCCCTTCTTGCTGCTTCAAGTAGATATGGTGATGCTGTGCTGGCAGCGGAAGCTCTGTACCATCTGAGTGTGTTGGAGCCCCAAAATTGTGGGAATTATTCGCTCCTATCCAATACTTATGCTGCGCTTGGTAGGTGGAAGGAAGCTGGTATGGTGAGGAAGGTTATGCGGGATATGCATGTGGAAAAGCTGGCTGGTGTCAGTTTTATAGAGGTGAATAATACAGTATATGAATTCATTGCCGGAGACAAATTAAACATAAAATTCGTTGACATTTGTCATGTCCTACAAAGCATAAATGGGCAACTCAAGATGATTGATCAGAACACGTGAGAAGCGAAAACTATCATCAAAACAACTTTGACCACTGTAGCTTTTGCTCGTTCTTCAAACGCTCCTGTTCTTTTTAATGCAACACATTAGAGGTACATTTTGCATTTGACTTTTCATTTTTGCCAAGATGATTAGAAACACAGTAGAATCACGCGACGCAAGCTGCTGCTTCCTGCCCGCAAAGAAAGAAGAGCGACAAGGATTTGTTCAGATTTCACTGTTTACAGCGTAGGAGCGGATTTCCCAAATAATCCCTGCGAACAATGAAAAAAGAATATCGGTAAAGGGGCTGTATTGGTGAGATCCAACGGTGAACAGCTGTTCAAAAGAAAAACCTGGTTTTGTTTAAAACAACAACAACAGAATCTTCTTACTCAAACCTAAGTAAACATCCTCTTTTATTAATCTATTTAAGAATACATTGTTAATATCGTCTTGTTGATGAATATTTTTGTCTAAGAGCTAAAGTTAGAATATGGCTAACAATTACATACTTTCCCAAGAGAGAAAGTCTTTGGATAAGATCAAATTTGTAGTTTAAACCCTTACCGATTAGAGAAGCCTTGTACTTGTTAATAATGTCATTCAAATTCTTTTTAATATGAAACAGCCATTTACATAGTTTGACATGATACACAATAGAAGAACTGTCATATATTATTCATCGCTAGAGCATCATATTTAGCCTTAAAATTTTTAAGGACAAAACTTGCTTTATAATAGATGGTTCTATATAAAAAAGAAGTAAGGCGGGATTAAGACTAGGTTGAACAATATCGAATTTATAATGTGTTTGCATAGGATGATTAGACCTAGGAGGTGATGGGGAAAATAGGGTTGGAAGAGATTAAGAGGAAGAAATATATGTTTAAATAAAGTGGTAGTTTTTATTTTTATTTTATTCCTTGATAACATTTTATTTCTATTTTATTACTTGATAACATTTTATTTGTTATTTAGTCTCTATCAATTATTTCTGTCATATTATAAAATAATGTTTAGGAGTTAGAGGTTACTGTTAGGAGTTGGGATAATGGTTTAGGGGTTATGAGTTAAGGGTTATGGGTTCAAGGTTAGAGGTTTAGGATTAGGATTAGGGTTAGGTTTTTTGGGTTAGGGGTTCGATGTTCAATGTTCAGGGTTCGAGATTTGAGGTTTGGGGTTTTTAAGGGTTAAGGGTTGGGGTTGAGGTTCAAGTTTCTGGTTGGGGGTTTGAGTTTATGGTTATGGTTTCGGGGAGGTTATCATTCAGGATTTGAGGTTAGGCGTTAGGGTTAAGAGGTAGGGGTTTATGGTTTACAATGTTAGGGTTTAGTAGTTAGGGATTATGGTTAGGGGTTATGGTTAGGGATTAGGGTATGTGGATCAAATCTTAGGGTTTAAGCTTTTAGGGTCAAGGATTTGGGATTATGGGGTTTAGGTTAGTGGTTTGGGTCACAATTAGGGTTTTAAGGTTAGATGTTAGAGTTAGTGGTTAGGGTTATGGTTTAGGGGTTAGGAGCTAGTGTTTAGGGATGATGGATTATGGATTAGGGGTTAGGGTTAGAGGTCAGGGGTTAAAATTTAGTGATTAAGGGTTAGGAGTTATGTATGAGGGTTTATAGTATATGATTTAAGGTTTAGGATCCTGGGTTATGGTTTAAGGTACATGAATTAGTTGTTAGGAGTTAGGCTTAGGGTAATGTTAAGGGGTTAATGGTTTGGGGGTTAAGGGTTAGGGGTTAGGGTAAGGGATTAGAGTTTAGCGTTTTTGGTTTAAGGGTTTTGGGTTTAGAATTTTTTATTTAGGGTGTATGGTTTAGGGGTTATGCGGAAGGGTTTAAGGTTAAGGGTTAGTAGTTAGTGATGAAGAAACTAATAAGAAGAATCTTGGAAGTCTTGAGTAGAATATTTGATGAAGTCAAAAGAAGTTATTAAATAAAAGATATGTTAGTCCATTAGTGAGTTTGTATCTACTTTGAGGAGATATAAGCATCTATCCTCTTCTATAGCATGAGTTTTTGTCATTTACAAAGTATAAAGTGTCTCAAATATTTTTAATATGTTAAAAATCGTTTTAATCGATTAATATGTTCTTCAGTCGTAGTTTTAACTAATATATTTTTGAACTAATTTATTAAAATCATTTAAACAACTTGAAAACACTTTATGTTGCATTTTTAATCGATATATCTTTGAAATAATCGATTATTTTCACTTAAGAAGTTTTAGAAAATCTTTTGTCATAATTTTAACTGATATATCTTTGAAATAATCAATTATTTTACTTAAGAAGTTTTAGAAAACCTTCCGTCGAATTTTAACCGATATATCTTCGAAATAATCGATTAAATTTACTTAAGAAGTTTTAGAAAATCTTTCGTCAAGATTTTAACCGATATATCTTTGAAATAATCAATTAAAATCACTTAAGAAGGTTTAGAAAACTTACTATCGAATTTTGATCGATATAACTTTAAAATAATCGATTAAAAATTACTTAAAAAAATTTGTATCACAATTTTAATCGATTAAATCTTGTTTTTTTTAAGTTAAAACGTCTCTGGAAAATATTTATAATTGTTTTAATCGATTAAACCACGTTTTTATCAATTAAAACATCTCGAGAAAAATTGGTAGAACCTTTTAATCGATTAAAAGAAATTTTCATCAGCTAAATTCATTTAAGATAAATTGTTTTAATCGATTAAAGTACGAATTAATCCATTAATCACAACAATTAGTTAGAAAAAATCTCTATATAAACAGATTTTCTCTAACATTTCAAAATACATCTTTGAGAAATCGATTAAGTATTCTTTAAATATCTTTTCCCAGAGAGAAACACGCCTTTCTTATTAGAATTCTTTTGCAATCTTTCTTGAGGTTCGTTGTTCTTGTTTTAGAGGTAACTCATTCTGTGATTGGATCTTTGCATCTGCATATTGATTTGATTGTTGTAGTTTCTTCAAGAATCTTCGGTTCATTGTATTTTCAGTGTCTGGAATTGTGGGCATTGGGTTAAACAGTTGGAATTGAGGTTGTTGTCATAGGTTCAAGAATTGAGTTAAAGTTCTTGGTGTAGATTGTTTTTCTACAATCTGTTATTGTAATCAATTGATATTTGATTGGTGGAACTCAATTGAAATTTGGTTGAGAACTGGATGTAGCCTAGTGGATTGGGTGAACCAGTATAAACTTGATGTTCTTGCTTTTCTTTCATTCAAGATTGCTGTTATTTGGTTCAAGAATTGATTGGGTTCTTAAATATTTGAAATTTATAATTTGTACTCAAAAGTTGCAAAAAGTTTTTTATTAGATCAATTCACCCCCCCCCCCCCTTGATCTCAACCTGTATTTCTAACAATATGGATGAATTTTTCAGGGTCTCTCAGTATAAATCTGCCAAAGAAATGTGGGAAGTTCTTGAAGTAACTCATGAAGGCACAACTGATGTCAAAAGGGTAAAAAAACACACCCTCATAAAAGAGTGTGGGTTGTTCAAAATGCAGCTAGGAGAAAGCATTGTTGATGTCCAAAAAAGATTCACACATATCATCATTCATTTGATGGGTCTTGGTAAGACATTTGATAAAGAAGAATTGAATATTAAAGTATTGAATTGTCTTGACAGGTGTTGGCAACCCAAAGTTACAACAATCTTAGAATCCAAGGATTTATCCATCATGACCATAACTTTTATGTTTGGAAAACTTAGGGAACATGAGATAGAAATCAACAGGTTCAATGAGCAGGAAATTTCATAGAAGAAGGTGAAAAACATAGCTCTTAAAGCAAGTGATAAAGATGAAGAATCTGAAGAAGAAAATGAAAATCTTAGTCTACTTGTCAAGAAATTTAGTAGATTTCTCAAAAAGAAAAATAAAGATAAACCTGTACAAAAAAGGTATGTAAAGAAACTAGAATCAAATTCATTTAATTACAAGTGTTATGGTTGTGGTAAATAGGGGCATGTAAGAATGAAATGTCTAGAAAAGACTAGGAACCAAGACAAGAAAAGTGTTAAGAATAAAAAGAGAGGCTACATTACATGGGATGATAATAATACATCATCAATCAAAAATCCAGAGGAAGAAGAAGCAAATCTGTGTTTGATGACTGGTCAAGAATCTCCAAGCAGTAGTGTAAGTTCTACATCTTCTAATAATTTTATGAATTACAGTTCTTTGCTAGAAGCTTTCAATGAAATGCATGAACAAGCAAAGAGACTTGCTAAGGAAAATAATAGATGGAAAGATATGAATAATTGGTTAGAAGATAGAGTAAACAATCCTGAAAATAAAATTCTTGAAGAAAAAACCGATTATGAATATCTTGAGATGATTCATAACAATTATGACTGCATGTGTAAGAAAACCAATATAGAAAAACCTTGTGAAAATTGTTCTGAGTTACAAAAGAAAATTGAATATTTGATCAAAATTGTTTCAAAGTTTGCACAAGGAAAAACTAATCTTGATGTCTTGCTTGGGTGACAAAAATTAGTCATTGATCGTGCTGGTATTAGTTTCACACCTAATGTTGGTAATACAACAAAGGCATTCAAAGATTATTTTTCATATAGAAAACCAGTTTCCACACCCTTCATTACTTATTTTTACTGCATGAAAAAAGGTCACTTAGTTAAATTTTGTAAAATAAAAAGATATGCAGTTCCTAGAGGTAAAATGAAATGGGTTCCCAAGCGAATCTTGCAAATAACTGAGATGGACCCTATCGTTTTCAAAGGGTACCAAAACTATGTTGAATTATTTTTCAAGAACAACAAAATGAGAGCCTATGGTACCTGACCAATGGTTGTTCAAGACACATGACTGGAGATATTTCTAAGTTTCACAATGTGAAACTTAAAATTAGTGAAACAAGCTTGTTTTTTCTCTAGTAGTTTTTTTGGGGATTTTTTTGAGTAAAGAAATTCAACTGTGGTGTTTCAAGCTTATTTTTTAATTTTTCTATTTGTTTTGAGTAATATTCTTACTTTTTAGGAATTTAGTTTTCAT